CAGACGGACTGATTACCTCACACTACTCCTTTCCCCCTGAGCTTGTACTGGACTGATGAAATCACTGTGGCCGCGCGAAACGTTTTCTCTCAATACAGACTCCCATACGTTGCATCAAGTATCTCAATCTTCGACATCATTTACCATCTATCTCTATAAAAAAAATAAGCTTTCCCGAATATACCTCATATGCATGAAATCAAACATTGTCATGATTATTTGGCCGACCAACTGTCTGCCTCAGAGTTATCTCTCTGAGTTACAAGACCTTGACACATGGAGGCCAGAAATGGTTCATCTATTAAGGTCTACCCATCCACATTACCTGTGTTTTGATGCCTTTCCTCGAGCTTCATCTGTACAGGAAGTCCATCTGTGTCCCCTCAGATGTTCTCCCCCCTACTCTCCCAAGCGGTCTGCCCTCAGCAACCAGCTATTTTTCTTCCCAGCCGTCCTATGTGTCATGGGACAATTGTGCACCTCCCTCAGATATTCTCCACATCCCCACATTTCCCACGGCGTCTGCCCTATGCCAAACAAGTATCTTCTTCTTGTCCAGGTCCATGTGTCGGGAGTTCATCTGATATCGCCCCTCAGATATTCCCATCACCACTTCCCAAAGCGTTTGCACTCAGCAACAGTATCTCCTTCTTTCCAGCGCCCTCCATGTATCCAGGAAGTCACTCTGTGTCCCTCTCAGTTATTCTAACCCAATCTCCACTTTCCCAGGGTCTTGCCCTTATGCCCAACTCAGTATCTTACTTCTTTCCCCAAGTCAGTGTAGCCTCAGGAGTCCATCTGTCCGCCTCAGATTTTCCCACTTCCCCACTTTCCCCAGAGTTTGCCTCAGCCAACCAGTATCTTCTTCATTTCCCAGCCGTCCATGTTATCCAGAGTCAATCTCGTGTTCCCCTCAGATATTCTTCATTCCCCCTTTCCCAGAGCGTCTTTTTTTTATGCCCCACTATGCCAACCAGTATCTTCTTCATTTACCCTGCCGTCATGTAGCTTCCAGGAGTCCATTGTCCGCCCCCTCTGATATTCTCCCCTTCCACTTCCCCAAGGGTTCGTCTCAGCAAACAGTATCTTTTCATTTTCCCAGGATCCATGTGCGCAGAGAGTCAATCTGTGATCCCCTCTAGATATTCTCCCTTCCGCACTTTCCCAGGGTCTGCCTATGCCTAACAGTATCTTCTTTCCAGGTCCATGTGTCTGCCGAGTCCTCTGTCCCGCCTCAGATTATTACCCTTCCCCTCTTCCCAAGGTATTCTCGACTTTTCCTAGGTCATGTGACTCCAGAATCCATCGGTAGCGCCCCGCGATGTCTCCACTTCCTCTCTCCCTTAGGTTATTTTCCAGTCTCAGCCTTCCCCAGCAGTTATGTATACCCGAAGTCAGCTCAGCCACCCTCAGCCCAATGATACTAGCCAGATGAGAGACGAGGCTTGTTTAGTGTTCTACGGTAGAAAAGCACTGTACACAGGTGGGATGGAATTACAGGAGGGCGACACGCAGAAATCTGCGTCTAGTAATTACACCACCAAGACAGTCTAGACGTAAGTCAGCATAGACGCCAGCCAAGCCCTACGTCAGTTCGGCCACCAAAGGCCTGCGAGCCCCAACCCCATCGAGTGAAAATTTGTGAATGTTCTATTTATATCATACAATTTTCTTCATTGTAAATATAAGATTTTTTACTTAAATAGCAATTTAAGTGTGTGTGCAATGTTTTTGTGATTGTTTCATGACGTGCTGTTGTTTGTTAGGGTGTTTGTCACTCACGACGAACTTAAAAAGTGTTGAACATTCGTATTTTTCATTGGGTATTTATCGCTATATAACTGCCCAAGTCGGCCACCCCACAGTGAGTTACTACAGGCGCTCGCACATATGGATATATATCATTTTGTCTAAAGTTTTTAGGTTATCCTGGGTAATTTACGCATATGTTACTGTGCATGATCATTTGTGTAATACTCATTTATGTTTTATTTGTACTCTAAAATTAACTTACACAGCATTCTTATTTTTTGTTCCCCCCCCCTCTGCCTCATTTTGCCTACAAATTTCCTGCATGACGGCAGCCTGCGTGCGTCACCCATCATTCATACCACACAAAACAACGCCACGAGCGACCCCCCCACACATACCACAACATAACACCAACACACACACAACACACACACACACACAACACACACACACACACAAGCATCACACACACACAAACACACACACACACACAAGCACATCACCACGGCCAGCCGAGCTAAGACTCGACCCTGCAACACAAATAGTGAGCCTACCACACACAACACGCCAGAGAGCTCGGACTCGACCCCCGCCAACCTCAACTCACTAGAGTGAGTACATACACACACACACACACACACACACACACACACACACACACACACACACACACACACACACCACACACACTCACCCACACACACACCCACACACACGCACCACATACACCACACATAATACACACGAAATTTGCTACCCATTCATATATGCGCCTCTCCCTTATAGGTTGTTAAATTTTGATTTGTTTTCTCCATATTAAAATGGGAAAAGTTGGAGGCAGAAACAATGCCGATCCCCCGTGCTCAATGTTGGAGAAACAGGGACCGCCGAACTTCTATATATATTTCTATATTCTGATGGAGAGATATTGATTGTTTGCGCATTTTGAAGATAGTCATTTTGAAATGAATTGTGGAAGTGATAGTTTGTGGCACTTGTGGGCTAAGAAGACACTCATGAATTATCTATGGAAGATAAAGTTTAACTACAAAACTTTATTAAAAAACTGGGAAGTTTTTCCTTTCTAACATTTGCACATTCTCTAACTTCATGTGTATATGTGATGTATACTAGTGATGCCTTTGTACACTAAGTCAGTACGACGTTGCTGCCACAATAGTCAAAGCTACGATCTCCTGACCACATGCGTCAGGTACGACTCTCTTAGCACACTAGTCAGCTACGACTCTCCTGCACACTCGTCAGTAGACTCTGCTGACACTTAGTCAGCTACGACTCTCCCTGCCCCACACTGCCGTCAGCTTCGATCTTCTGCCCCACACTAGTCAGCTACGACTCTGCTGCACACACTAGCAGTACTCGACTCTCCTGCTCACTGCCGCTCAGTACGACTCTCTCTTGCCACACTAGTCTGTACGACTCTCCTGCACCACACTAAGTCAGTACAACTCCTCTGCCACACTGCCGTCAGCTACGGACTCTGCTGCACACTGGTCAAGTACGATACTCCTGAACACTGCCAGTACGACCTCTCCTGCACACTGGTCGTACGACTCTCTCCCTGCCACACACTGCGTCAGTACGCACTCTCCGAACAACTGTCAGCTACGATCTCCTGCACACTGGTCAGTACGACTCTTCCTGATCACTGGGTCAGTACGACTCTGGCCTGAACACTAGTCCACGTACTGACTCTCCTGAACACTGGATCAAGTACGACTCTCCTGGCCAACACTGCAGTAAGTACGAATCTCTCTGCACTCTAGTCAATACGACTCTCCTTCACACTGGTCAGTACGACTCTCCTGCACACGCGCTCAGTAACGACTCTCTGCACACTAGTCAGTACGACTCTCCTGAAACACTGTCAGTACGACTCTTCCGCACACCTAGTCAGCCTACGACCTTCTTTTTTTTTTTTTATTTCCCTTTCTTTTTTTTTTTTTATTTTTTTCTGCCACACTAAGTCAATACGACTCTCCCCCCCCCCCCCCCCCCCCTTCCCCCTTTCACACTGGTCAGTACGACTCTCTGCCCTACTGGCTCAGTACGACTCTCCTGCCCCCCACCCCCACACTGGTCAGTAGCGACTCTCCTGCACAACTGCGAGTAGTAGACTCTCCTGCCCACATAATTCTGAACGACTCTCCTGCCCACACTAGTCAGAACGACGATCCCTGCCACACTAGTCAGTACGACTTAATATTGCACATAGTCAGTACGACTCTACTGCACAAACCTTCCGTCAGCCTACGACTCTCCTGCCCCCACACTGGTCAGTTACGACTTTCCTGCCACACTAGTCAGAAACTCTCCTGCCACACTAGTCAGCTACGAACCTCTCCTGCACACTAGTCAGCCTACGACTCTCCTGACACACTGGTCAGTACGACTCTCCTGCCACACTTGCTCAGAACGACTATCTGCACACTGGTCAGCTACGACTCTTCTTTGCAAACTGGTCAGTTCGCGCCTCTCATACACACTTAGTCAGATACGACTATCACTGCCCACACTGGTCAGTACTGATCTCTATTTGCCCCACAACTGGTATCAGTACGCCCCCTCTCCTACACTATAGTCAGATCGTACTAACACATATTAAAAAATAATAAAACCCCCTTCTGCCACACTGGTCAGTACGGATTACTGCACACTGGTCAGTTACGGCCCCTTCCTACACACTAGATCAGAAACAAAATAAGATCTCTCTAGCACACTGGTCAGCCTCACCATACGACTCCTACTGCTCACTGGTCAGCCATACGCGCTCTCCCCTCCCCCATACACTAGTCAGAACGACTCTCCTAGCCACACTGCGTTAGTACGACTCTACTGCACATGCGTCAGTACGGCTCCTCCTACACTCTAGTCGAAAGACTATCCTGCAACACTGGTCAGTACGATCTACTGCCACCAACTGGTCTAGTACGCGACCTCTCATACTACACTTATTCAGATCGAGGCTCTCCTGCCACACTGCCGTCAGTAACGACTCATACTGCACACTGGTCAGTATCGGTCTCCTACACACTAGTCAGACTGACTCTCCTGCACACTGCCGTCAGTACGACTCTACTGCACTCTGGTCTAGCCTATCGGGCTCTCCTACACACTAGTCAGAAAGACTATCTGCCCCACACTGTCAGCTACGACTCTACTCACGCCCCACCTGGTCAGTACTTGGCTCTCATGACCCACATCTAGTCAGAAACCGATTCCATGACATGCGTCAGTTACGAATCTACTGCACACTGCCGTCAGTACGGCTCTCTCTACACACTAGTCAGAACGACTCTCCTGCCCCACATCTCGAGCAAGTTACGACTCTACTGCACACTGGTCAGTACGGTCCCTCTCCTACACACTAGTCAGAAACGACTATCTCTGCACACTGCCCGTTCACGTTACGACTCTACTAGCACATCTGCGTCAGTACGCTCTCTCCTACACATCTAGTCAGTACGATTAATCCTGCCGCAAACTGCCCGTCAGTACGACTCTACTGCCAACACTGCAGTCAGTACGGCCCCCTCTCCTACTAACACTAGACAGAACGACTCTCCTGCTCACTTGCCCCCCGCTCAGCTACGACTACTGCCACACTGGTCAAGTAGACTCTTACTGCCACACTGGTCAGATACGGCTCTCTTACACACTAGTCAGAACGACTCTCTGCCACATCTGCGTCAGTACGACTATACTGATACACTGGTCAGTACGAGTCTCCTACACATAGTCAGAACGACTCTCCTGCCACACTGGTTCAGTAGGAAAACATTCTTAAAGACTGCCAGTGATATATATTAATCAAAAGAAGGATGCGGCCATATAATGATATAAGGAATGATCTGCGTATGTAGCGATATAAGGATGATACTGGATGTGCGTGATTAAGGCATGATCTGCGTATGGATATATGGATGATTGCGTGTGGGATATAAGGAAGTGAGATCACATCAAACTCATGACACAAACAATGCGAACATGACGAACAACTTAAGGCCACACACCCCTGAGGTGACAACACAATTCATCACGATAATAACTTTTTTCAGCATATTAATCTAGTGTATTAAATTGGTGGACAAAAATTACAAGCAAGTTCATTAACTATCCATTATTGTAAATTATCATGAACTCTAGAAAATTTTCAACTCATCTTCATCATGAATTTTTACAACTCATCAACAACCATCTCTTACCACAACTCACTATAAACCATTCTTAATCCTTAACTCACTAATAAATCATCCATCACCAACAATTCCCATCAACTATCCATTACCTTAACTCATCTTTAGACCATCCATCAGCCACGGTGCTCACCCATCAACCACATCACTTCAGCTCATCAATAGCCATAAATCACCACTACTCATCTCTTAAATATCATCATCACAATGCACCATCATCCGATGAATATACCCAATTTTGATCATCCATCACATCACCACAAACACACTATCAACCATCCATAACCACAACTCACTTATCAAACCATCATACCACTCAACTTACTATCATCCATCCATAGCCACAACCACAACTTACCTTCAAGTCGACACACTGCTAAACTATCCATCACAAGAACTCGCTATCATAGATCGCCCAACCATTCCCCACCACAACTCACTACCAACTATCCTCATTTATATCCAACAGGACTCACATAATGTCTATAATAGCGAGTGAGAAACATTTAGGTGTTTTATCGTCGGATGCTCAACATGGAATGTTCTATTCAAGATCAAGTGTTCTGAACACTTCACGTGCCCTCAGCTACGTGTTCTGTTTCAGTATCTACCTCTGTATGCTGAATATAAAGTCAAGAAATTTTCACCAGCCTTGAATTTCGTAACATGTGGTTGCTAATATGTCCCTCTATAACGTACTATGAGGTATGCCATTTTGATTATTGAGCATGTCAGGCATCAAGATCGCAGGCCAAATAACATAAGTGAGAGTTTCTTTACTCTCAATCTCGAGCACTGATGGAAAAGCTTTATTGCAATGAAGTTATACCTCGGTTAATACATGATTAATAACTCCTATCAGTTAATTAAATGATTAGGTTTCTTTTTTTTCATTATTTATAAAGTAAACTAAAAGTGTGATCATCATCTTAGTGTGAAAAATATTAATCTCGCCGCTAGCTCTAGCCCCTTCCCCAAATTCTAAAAGTGTCTTTTTTTTTTTTTATGGAGAAATCGAAAATTGCGGACCACTGCTCAGCCTAACAGAGTTTATCTTTGAGCTACCCAGACTTGCCACGTGGAGGCCAGTGGGTTTCGTCTTCAAAGGTCCACCCACCACACTTAACTGTGTTCTTGATCCTTTCCCCAGGTTCATGTGTCCAGGAGATCCATCTGTCCGCCCCTCGATATTCTCCTTCCCCACTTACCCAAGCGCTCATGCCCCCTCAACAACCAGTCTCCCTCAGTCTTTTCCCAGGCTCCATGATATACAGGAGTCACATCTGCTGTCCGACCTCAGAATATATTCTCCTTACCCTCTTCCAGGGTATTCTCGCTTTTTCCCAGGCCATGTAGTCAGGAATCCATCCGTGCCCCGGACCCCCCGGATGTTCTCCCCTATCCTCACTTCACTTTAGGCTTATTTGCCAGTCTCAGCCCCTTCCCCAGAGTTATTTATCCCGAAGTCATCCTCTAGCCACCTCAAGTGATCTAGTAGATTGAGAACCGAGGTCTTGCCTCTAAGCTGGCCTACCGTAGCAGACTGTCCCTACCCCCCCCCCCCCCCCCCCCCTCTCCCAGGGTGGATGGAATTACAGGAGGGGAACGCCCAGAAAACTGCGTCCTGGATTTACATCACCAAACAGCCTAGACCGTATATCAGACCAGACGCAAGCCAGACTAACCGTCCAGTTCGGCCACCAAGGCCTGGCCCACTCAATGAAATTTTGGGAGTTCTATTTATTTTATACAATTCATTCTAACATTATTGTACTTAATCAGGTGACCGTGTTAAGTGGTTTAGTGAAATGTCTTTATTCTGTGTGGATGAATGTTCGTGATATTAATCTGTATGTCCACCTCCACCAGAACTATAATAAGTGTTCGTACTGTATGGTTTTTATTTCGGTATTAGTCTTATGTATTTAGATAATACGAGCAGTTACAAGAGTTTTTTCGGTTTCCTTATTTTTTTTTTTTTTCCTTTTTTTTTCCAGGCAAAATGGCAAATAAGTTACGTTTTGTACTGACTTTTTGTTGCTATCAATGGGCGTAATTTACGCTTATTTTAATATGTATAATAATTTGTGAAACTGTTATTTATGCGCTATCTGTCCTAAATACTGTTACGTATGCCACACACGCTTATTTTCACACTTTCATTTGTGCACATTTCGCTCAACAACCACGGCCTGGGATTCACATCATTAATACGTACATAAGCACGCACACGTCTCACAAACACACTATACATATCGTATAGCACACATGATCGTGTACATAATTAAAATATAAAAATTTATTAATAAAATAACCCCCTCCCCCCCCCCCCCCTCTTTTTCACTTGTAATCATAATAACACGCGACTGCGCACACACACTACACACACACACAACACACACACACAACACACACACAGGCTCCATCAATACACACGCCACATATGCTGCTCAAATTTGTTATCTCATTTTTATTATGCAGTCTCCTCACGGTTGTTAAAATTATGTTTGTGTTTTTCAAAATAAAGTCGAGAAGTTGTGGGTAGAAAAAATCACCCTATCCTCAAGTTAGGGAATTCAGGAACTTTATATATTTCAATATTTGATTGCAGATGTTGGGTTCTCGCCATTTCGAAGACATCACTAGACACAAACATCCCAAAAACAAACAAAATTCAAATAAACGCAAAAAACACCCAAAAAATACCATGAACTTATCTTTTGCCGAAACAAAGTTCATATAAAGTAATTTTTAAACAGTTTAATTAACTATTTTCCATTTCTATTCTCACATATATTCACTTACGTAACATCTTCTAGACCATCATAAAACATTACTCCCCACGGACTATAAACAATTTGCGGAAAATTCAAAACCACATTTGAAAATAAACTAGGACCACGCCCTGGGGTTATTCGATCCCCTTGACAATGCCGATCAACTAATATGGTGGCTGTCTTACCCTCTGGCGTCAGCCTGCGTCTCCGACTACGTAAGATTCCTACATTATAATGTCATGTTCTGCTGGATGTGTAAATAGTTAGCAGAATTATAAAATTATGTTGTTTGTAATATACTGCGATGTTTAATTGTTAGTATTATTTTTACCTTGAATGGTGCTAACACACAATAGGTTGCTTTTCCTAACATTAATGTTTATGCCATTATACAATATCTTAATGTTTAAGGGGTATTTCGTTGTAATATCTGCGTAACATAACTATTTTCTCAGTGCCGTTATATTTCTCTTAATGTTGTTGTGATTAATTAATAAAATAAAATCTTAGAGAGACATTTACGTTAGCCAGAAGTGATGAGAAAATAACAACAAAAAGGAAACAGAAGTATTTATTTTAGAAATAACGCACTTTGAGGAATTGGCCCAAAGAGCTTCTAGATGAAAGTTGAGGAGTGGCAAGAGCCTCGGCAAGAAAGTTAAGGAGTTACAGAGTTCTGAAGAAGATTTAAGGAATACTTAAGAGAAACTCCGGAAGAAAGTTAGAAGTATTTTAAAAAAAAAAAAAAACTTTAATCAAGGAGTCTGCGAAGAAAGTGAGGACGTATAAGAGCTCAGAAGAGAGTTGCAGGAGTTTTAAAAGCTACGCGAAGAAAGTTGAGGAGTATTTTAAGAGTCCTCCGCGAAGAAAGCCTGAGGAGTTTTATGAGCCTCGGAAGAAAGCTGAGGAGTATAGAGCCTCTTTGAGAAGCTGAGGGGTTATTATGCAACTTCAGAAAGAAAGATGAGGAAGTATTAGAGACCTCCGAAGAAAGGTGAGGAGGATTACAGAGCTCTGAAGGAAAGCTGAGAGTATTAAGAGACTTGGCAAGAAAGCATGAAGGAGTATAAGCAGTAGAAAACTCGGAGAAAGTGAGGAGAACCCCCCCCCCCCCCCAGCGTGAAGCCTATCAAGAGCATCTAGAAGAAAGGTTGAGAGAGTATTAAGAACTCCAGAAGAAGAGATGAGGAGCTTTTAAGAGCCTCCTGAAGAAAGTTGAGGTAGGTTTAAAGAGCTCTGATAGAAAGCTGAGCCTGAGTATTAAGAGACTCGGAGAAAGCCTGATTGGAGTATTAAGAGCTCCGGAAGTAAGCTGAGGCGATATCTAAGAGCTCTAGAGAAGTTGAGGAGTTTAAGAACTCCAAGAAGC